AAAAAGCCGGATTTTCTTATTGTTAAACCCAACTAAAAAAAAAAAAAAATTTGGAAATAATCTTAAAAAGAAGAAAAAACGATGAAGTAATACACTAATGATTATTTCCAAAATGATGGTAAGGTGATAGCTATCAATGATCTTTCAAAAAAGAAAAAAAAATCCTAAAATCTTATGAGGAAAAAAAATTTTTTTGTTTAAAAATGGCGGAAAAATTTATCGAATTTCGTTCCGGTTTTTTGGTTTTCCGGTTTTCTGGATAACGGGTTCTGTACTGTACTTTAAAATTGTTAAAGAAATATGGTAAAAATGTTTCTTACAGAAAATTGACAGAAGTAACTTTTTTTTAATATGAATGGCAGAAAAAAAAATTTTTATACACCAAATTGAACTTTTAGAAGGTAAATAATTTGTGCAAATGAAACTCTTTGTAGTTAAAATTTAAATCACATAAGTTTTGATTTACTAAAGCTGCAGTTTAATTAAGGATACAGAATCTTTGTTCTATAAATTCGATCTGCCTGATACCTGTGAATTCTTTTAAGTGAATAACATAGTGAAAATATCAATCGGCATTGGATATCATCAAAAAATGCAATTAAAAAAATTTTTGTACCAATTATGTTGTGAAATATCAATCGATATGCCATGAAATCTGCAAACATTGTGGAATACTTCCCCTCCCCCAAGTCCTGTTATGAAAATACTAATCAGAATTATAGATCAATAATATTTTGAGATGTCATATGATATTTCAAGTTTTGGGCATTTTAGCATGAATACATATTTTCTACTAATGTTGTTTTATATTTTTAGCAATGATTTTTTGAAACCAATCAATACAGGTACTAGGAGATAGAGATAATAAATAGTACTTAAAGAGAAATGCCAATATTCTAATCCAAATAGCATCTTTTTGGCATACATCTTTTCAAAAGTAAATAGCGTAATAGGTGAAAGATAGAGATATATTTTCTGCCAATGAATCACATTGGAGTTTTCAAAAACAATTTAGACTTTTGGATCAAATATTCAAAACTAAATGTTGAATGTTTTTTATTCTTTTAGAATTTTCAAAGAAGAAAAATAAAGAAGTAGAAAATTAAGTGCCAAATAATATAGTTGAATATTTTCTTCATTTGAAAAATGAAAAAAAGAAGCAATATTGGGATATTTTACCAAAGATAATGGGAGAGTGAATGGTGCAAAGCCCCTACAATTTTAAGATGAAGCCCCAAATGTTGTCTGCCCTAGATTATGAGCATTCTATAGCTATCAAATGTAATTCCAGTTTTAAAATGAAACGTGAATGCATGCCATTGAATGATTTTTGGGTTGAAATGAAATGCATACTAGCAAGAAACAGTATAAACATTTTGCTGATATTTATTTAAACCAATCTTTTTGAAGCAGGATTTTATGCATCAAGAAAAAAAAAGAAAAAAAATAGGAGAAAGATGGAAACCACTTCTGATATCCAAATAAACTTTGAAAAACAAAGCTAAATTTCAAAGTTGTTTTATAAATAAAAAATTAATGTTAAATAAATAAAAAAATTCCATACCTCATTTTAGCTATGAGTTTGTATCAGTTTCAAATATCTTCTTAATTTTTAAATTTTTAGTTTGTTATATTTAAGACAATTTTTGTATATTATTAAGAAGTTTCTTACTCCAAGTTTAATTCAAAGTTTCTTGTGCTTCATACAGATAGTTGGTAATGTTTTTGTACCTTTATTTTTTCATGTTATTTATCCACCTGAAAAGAATGTGTTTAGTGAAACGCATAAATCCAAGATTAATAAAGATGAAATTTCCCAAGAAATTAACATTTTTTTTAAATATTTAATAATTTAAAAAAATAAGGTTTGCAAATTAGTCAATGAAGATCAAATGAGTAGCGAAATTAAAATGACTCCTTTATAATACTTAAAATTTACTTTGAGAAATTCAAAAAATAAATTTTGTAGACCAAATAAGCTTAGTTACTTTAAATTTAAAAAAAAAAAAGGTTTGCAAAACACATAGGTCCAAGATGATTGAAAATAAAATGACTCAAAATACTTACAGTTATAATTAATATTTACTTTTCTGCAGAAAAATTTCTATCTTAAAGGGTTTCAAGGCACAAAAATTTTGGGAACCACTGCTTTAGAATATAGAAAATGTTATAGTCATTTTAGTTTGCCCTGTGTTTCAGCTAAGTTCAGTTATCCTTTCAAGAAAATTGAGACTTCTAACTGAAAGACAAATTTTATTTTGCCAATTGTATCTCAATTTGCATTTAGTCATAACTGGGGCAATACATTTTGAGTCGTCATTTTCTATCTTCCATAATTAAAATAACTAAAATTATCGAAAATGAAACTATAATTGCCTGATGAAGATTTCTGACTATTTTTTTTATTCTTTTATTTATTTATTTAATAAAATATATTCGAGAAACAAATATTGTTACAGTTAGGGTGTAACAGTATATTTATTTTAAAGCTCAAAGGGAAAAGTTTAATAAAAGTATTTTATTTATTTAATATTTAAGAAAATCTGTAAGGAATTTCAGAAATGTGGAATAATTTCAATGAGGTAACCAATTGGTCTATCTCAGAATTTAAAATTTTTTAGATTATTATTAAATTAAATAATAGAAAATAATATATTATAATATAAAATAGTTTTTACATGGAATTATATTAGGAAAAATGAGCAAATTTTTTTTGTTTGCTTCTAAGAGTTCCAGACAATGATGAAGCATGCAAAAAGACATAAATAATAATTATTGGGCTCAAAATTTTGATGTCTCACATGAATAAACTATTAGTACCATTTCTACATTTAAATAGATTAAAACCAAACCCATATATTTTTAGGGTCATAAATTTGAATCTATCAAAAAATATGTTTATTGAAAGTACACTGTTGTGTCTAATTTCATAACTTAATTTTGTCTCACAAATTAATGAGCTTATATAAGATTAAATCCCCAAACTAATAAGACTGCATGTTAGCACACAAGCATATGATCATTACATCAAAAAATATTCAGGTGTTCTGTTTTTTATTTTGTGCACTGAACTGAACAAATTTCAAGATTATATTGTTTTTTTTTATTATATCTGAGAAAGATACAGATGATTATGGTGAATTACAAAACGGTTATTTAAAAAATAAAATGTACTATAATACTAGGCCTTCACCTTCCAACTAGGTGAATAATGGGCATATGTGTGTAAAAATATTAAGAACGTTTCTGCTTTTCTACATTTAAATATGTCCTCATTTACTGTTTAACAGTCTACGGATTATCCTGAATAAATTAAATTGACAGGTAAACATAAAGTTACAACACATCTATCGATTTAACTTAATTCATCGGAGGTGAGATATTTCAATCCTCCCAAAAACGACACAATCTTTTAATTTTCTTGTATGAAAAATAAATGTAACATGAACAGCAACAAAAATTTTCACAAAATAGTAAAAAAAACAGAAAAAATAAATAAATAGGAGTGTTGGAAAACAAATAAAAAATTCACTTTAAAGTAACTTAACTAATTTTCATAAATATTAGTTTAAATCATAAAAAAATATCTATTCTAATACATAGCCAGTATAAATTTTGAAAACAGTAATTAAAAATAAAACTGTTTAAAAGAATAAAAATTTTCCAAGTGTAAAGTAAAACAAATATTTTACTTTATACTCTTTTCACTGAGGCTTTAACAATATAATTATGAGGCATAAGTAATATAATAAATAATTTTTATAAACAATATATTTATATAATATTGCGCCAAAAAAATTTAGCAAAAAATTACTTCTGCTAAATTTTCTATTTTCTAAATAAAATATACTCATAATAAAAACTTTATTATTGCATAAAATTTAAAAATATATTAATTTCATAAATATATTTTTTTTAAAAAGGTTATTTTGATAAGGAAATTTTCTTTATATTCAGAAAATTTAGATTTTATTTAATGTTCTTTCATTTATTGAATTTTACAATTCTTATTAACTTACAATACAATTACTTTATAATAACAATTATACATGTCACTAATTTAAAATAATAGAAGTGTTGTGTTTATAAAAAAAGAGAGAAAAAAAACTATTCAGATAAATAAAATTGTATTTTTTTAATTAAATTTGTAAAATTTTTTGTAGGGGGAAAACACACAAATTATTTCATGAATTACATTGAAAAAATTAAAATCTATAGCAGTAACTATCGAAAAAAAGATTGACAGTGAAGCGCGTCTAAAAGAGATTTCTTTAATTCACGATTCGAATTTCATGAGTCGTAATATCATCTGTGGTCCCTGCATGAATTCGTAAGAGTTAGAAATTGTTACCTCCTTTTAAACAGTGCTCATGAAAAATAAATGCTCCTGTGTAAAAAATTATTTTTGAGGTATGAAAAATAATTGCAGCATCAGCATTTGTCTGACCAATTTGGAACTAATATCTATTATTTCTAACCATTCATAAAACAGGGCTCATTATATCAGGCTTTGATTGTGTTTGAAAAGATTTTTTTATAAAATTATCTTATTAGAAACTTATATGGTTATTATTATATTGCGAAACTTATTTATTTACAGTTACTTCAAAATTTTCGTCTAATGCTTATAAAAAACAGATGATAGAAACCGTCTAATGCTTAATAGAAAAATTGCCCAAAGTTTCTCCGTGTAAATTTTTTGGGTCAAAATATATGTAAATAATGTGTTTCTGCCATTCATTCAGATAAAAATGTACATTTTCATGAGTATGAAAATTACCCTTTAATTTGTAAAAACGCATACAGATACAATACGTCATAAAATGTGCTTTGAAATAAAATTTTTTTGAGGTTTGGATTTTTGTGAAATGTAGGAGTCAAAATTTGATGAAGGGGTCCTACGTGGACATAAAATAGATTGATACCTGCACACTTATTAATAAAAAGTCTAATTAATAACTAAAATATGAAAAAAGTCAAAAATATTTCTAAGCATTTACCTCAAACATAGCTCGACCAGGTTCAATATGGCGCCTAGCTTCAAAAAGCCATTCTACTAAATGTTCAAAGCTGGAACGGCGTGTAACATCATATAGTAGCAAAGCACCTACTGCATTTCTGTAATAAGACCATGTAATAGTCCTAAAAAGAAATTTTTTCTTTTACTTGCAAGACAATAAAATGACAAATAATATTACAGGGTTGGCAATTTATTTAGAAGAAACTCATTTCTACCAGGACACAGGTAGAAAATGGAAAGAAAAAAAACTTAAAAAGTTGGGCAAAATGGATGAAGTGGGCAGTAATAGGCATTGAGAGTAGAGCAGTTGGGGATTATGCCATAGGTGCAAAATTAAGAAAGGGCACCAAATCATCAAGTAAATATTTAAGAACCATTTTTTTTTTTTTTTATTGTAGTGTTCAATGAAGTGGAAAATTTTGTTACAATTTTGTTATTCTGTGAAGATATCATCTGGAGGGAATTAGTCAAACACAGACATTTTCAGCTTGTACCAAAGATATACTTTTTTCGAGAGTCATAAAATTTACCAAGAGTGCGGCAAAAGAGATAGGGGTTAAAAAATGACCTGGCGCATCATTAGAAAATTTTTTTGTTGTTGCTGATTCTATTATTTTCCCTTCTTTTCAATAAATCTCTTTATTATTTTCCTCAGGATGATAATCATTGTTTTTTAAGGCAGGACGGATAATTAATATTGGTGATAAGGAATTGTGGTATGGGAGGTGCATGGAAACATGGAACTGGATGAATGGGTCAAGCCAAAGTTGAATGGAAAGAGCACTATGTTTTACATCTTGTGAATTTATGCCTATTTCCCTCAAGAAAGTGACTGTTGAGGGGGGTTTCTATGATGTTTCAGGCCAAAAGACCCTATGGTTATTCTAACTAGGCATGCTATTTTAAAGAGAAAGTGTCAAATGAGGTAACAGGCCTTTTTCTCCTTTCATCTGCATTCTTGATATAAAGATATCAGCAGTGAAATATGCTAGAAGCTATTTACTTTATGTAAGCATAAACAAAAAAATGTTTCAATAATTTATCACATTTTCTATTGACAAGAATGATAGTTATAATTTTTCCGACTTTTAATTTTAATTTAAATAAAAAATTAGTAAATGATAATTTTTTTTTAAAAAAAATTAGGGGAGAGTGGCTTACCTTGGGACACTTTTTTACTTTCTTTTTTTAAATTGTTTTATTTTGATCAATAATTGTCAAAATTTTACCTGGTATTTTAACATTTGAAAACATTTTTAACTAGGTTTTGATTTTGTGTCTGTCATAGAAAATTTTTTTAAAAATATTTAGTTACCTTGTTATTTGTCCCAAGGTGTACCTCCTAGTGGGGCACCTTGGAGCAGTTAAACAGATGTGAAAAGTAATGTTGAAATTTTCTAAAAGTAGTATAACTAAATAAATTTACATTTCTAATTTTGTTGATTATTAGTTCCAACTTCTTGTATACAAATCTACAAATCCAATTGTTCAGAATCAAATACCAAACCCAAAGAACGTTCAAAGCTTTGCTCTGCTTAAGTTTTAACAAAATGTCATTTGAATCTATGTATGATTTGTCTTCTTTTTCGGAATAAATAAATGTTGAAGATTGATTCACTCTTCTCAAAACTGATAACTCTACATCTCCATCAACTCTTTAAACGTAACCTACAAAAGCAACAAAAGATCTTTTGCCAGCAAATTTGATGGGAGCAAAATCTCCAATATGTAATCTTGTTTCATTACTTTTTTGTAGATGAACGTTTTTCTTTTCATTAAATATTTTGTTGTCACTTTCACTGTTCATTTCATCTAGGCTGCGAGCACCATCATTGTTATCATTGCATAAATTACTAATTACTGATTTTCTCCCAGTTGTATTTCTCACTAATTCTGAGAGCATTAAATCCTTATCTTCCCATTTTTTTTTTTGTTTTCTCATTCTCCCAGTTTGGAGGAATGTTCATTTGATTAGGCAAAGCACACTCATATGCAAGTGCACTGCATCACATACTGTCAATCTATAATAGTACTTGGAGGCTTGTAACATATAGTCTACCAAATTTATTTCCTTCTCACCTGTTAATATTTTGCGACTGTGTGTATTTAATATATACTTAAAGTTAGAATTTGGCTACTCTCTTTTTCCAAAGGAAATAAAATGGCGGGTCAGAGTGGTCTTACTAATACTGTAGAATTCAGCAGCTTTCTTATAAGTCATTTCCCCGGATAAAATTTGCAACAGCTTTTTCAACATTGTTAGCACAAACTGCTGCATTATTTTTATACTTTTTGCTTCTAATTCTTGTCATTAGTTAAGTCTAATGAGCTCTTAAAATAAGAAATAATAAATATTAATAAACACAGATTATATAAATAAAAAAATATTTTGCATGCACAATATCTTTTTGTTAGAAATCTATCTTTAATAAGGATTAATTATGTATATCTAGTGTCCCAAGGTGGGCCACCTCCATCTGTCCCAAGGTGTACTATATACTTAATATGAAATTTTAAAATATCATACTTTTAGGCTTAACATTAGAACATTTGATAACTTCTAAAGGGAAAGCTTTATACTTCATTATATTATCCTTTTTTTTAAAAAATTTTCAATATAATTTCTTTCTACAACTAATTAAACTTTTACATGACAGTAAGTAAACATGCTTCAAAAATAAATATCTCAATAAAATCTTACCTGCTTAATCAATAGAATCAAAATATGTTCCAAGATTAGGTGATGCTATCATTTATCTGAATCTAAGAGAACTAAAAGATAATTTAAAATTTAAGACCAAAAATAAAAATGTCCCAAGGTGTACTGTGTCCCAAGGTGAGCCATTTTCCCCCATATAAAAATATTTTTACTTTTACACCTCACATATAATTTTTTGCTACAATTTTAAGAAAAATGTTAACTGGAAATGTGTACCACACTAATATCGGCTTTTGTAATCAGCAACCTTTCTAGAACCACATATAAGCGAAGAGAAAGTTTGTTTTCCCTTTTAAGAAATTGTATATGTATATCTTAAAATGTTCCCTTTTTAAAATACTATACCGCAATATAAAAATATTCTAATGAAGAGCAGAAATAAGCTTTCAATTAGAAAAAAATTGCATTTAAAGTTTAATATTCAGATGAATGCATTATAAATGTGTTTAGTGGATGTAAAAAATCAATTTTATAATTTTACAGTAAAATTTGTATTTAGATTAAACTTAAGCAATATAAATGGAAGAAAAATATACAAATATTTTTTTTTCCTTACATTTAATTTTTTCAAACAATTTTATAAAAATTTTATAACACAATGTATTAACATAATTATTTTGAAATTTCTGGGAATCATACATGATTAGCCGTTTAATTACAAAAAACATATCGCAAAATCTAATGAGTATCTAGGGGATATTTTGTAAATCTAAGTAATCCTTAGATACTTCTTTATTTCCAAGGAGTTTCTAAGGACTACAATAAGCTGTCTATGTGCTTCCTTATATTAAGCTCATAAAAAACTCCTTTTGCCTCACTTCTAAAATCTCGTTTTTTTTGTGCTATCATTTACAATATTTTCTATTTCAACTAAAATTTCATTAAACTTAATTTGCAAATAAAGCTCTTTTTGCACCACTTCTTCTGGTAAGAGCTGAAAGAACACTGGGATTTAGATAATTTTTATCTTGCCTTCTCTCGTTTTCTCTTAGAATTTAACATTACAATTTAGAATTTTTAAGTTTTTAACATAAATTGCCTCATAAGGACGCCAGTTAAAGATTATTCTAAATTAATTTTGATATAAACCACTCTCTTCTCACTAATTCATAAATTTCACTTAGCCCTCTGTTAGGATCTTTTAGGGAGATGCTTCCGTACTATGATCTGTCATGCTAACTACAATCGTCCTCTGAGATTTTTTTCCCCTTAGTTTCTCATAGGCTGCTGTAAACTGTAATTACCAGAACTTGGCGATAATTCTACAGCATATCACAATAAGGTAATCTTCCCTTTTTCAGTAATTTGAGACCAGGAGCGCCAAACACCTCCTCCCTTAATGTAGCTTTGAGTAGGAACATATCTGAACCAGTTTTGATCCATAAAAAATATCTAAAACAATTTATTTGTACCATAAATACCTGTATCTTTCTTGCCCAGCTGTATCCCACAATTGAAGTTTCACCCTCACACCTTCTTTAACTTCTATGAGTCGAGCAAAGAAATCCACTCCTACCGTAGGATCGCAAACTTCAGGAAATTTTCCTTCTGTAAAAGCGCGAAGCAATGCACTTTTACCTACAGTGCTATCTCCTACTACTATTATACGAAATTGATAATCAAATATAGGCTCAACCATAACTATCAGTTCTTTACTAATCACTATGATCAAGGAACGGCAATAATAATTATGAGATGAAAAGACAGCAGAATACAGAGAGTTACTTTCATTTGACGCAAATCATATTTCCTGCTAATCAGCACAATATAAACCTGATGCACATGAGATAAATATATAAAATAAGAGTTCTCCTTGATGAGATTAAAATATCATTTTCAATTAGAATAAAAGAAAAAGAAGTACCAACCCAAAACAAGCAGTTTCAATTTCAGTTTATATGCCAGTAGACTTATTTAGCTGAAGCTATATGCCACATTTAAATCAACTTATAGCTTACAAAGAGCTTGAGGAAGAGATGTTTGGATGAAGTGAGCTATGCATTATCGGATCTATTAGTCTTTGTACGACATCTATGAAGTTGACTTTGTAACTACAAAATTTGATATGGCGTTTATGCTCTCCAATTAATGTCTGGCCGAAGTGTCCTCTTTTTCTCCCTATCATTTTTCTATATGGTGCTTGCCTGTTAAAATTTGTTGTGTCGTTGTTTTCTTTGTGAAATCGATGTATATTTCTTATTAAATTGAGTTTAATTATGGTGGTATTTTCACTCACGTTAATTCGACAGTAAGTGTGATGTTTTAATTTTAGTCTGCCTTATGTTTTCACGTTTTGTTTGTACACACTGTAAATAGGATTTTTCCCAATTGCTGTGAATTGATTCTCCCATCATCAAAATAATTTTGTCGTAATCGAACGTTTCTTTCTGGTCTCCTGTTATGAAATTTTGTCTGTCCGCAAAATATAACAATGTAATAGCTGAATTTGCTTGCATAACTTTTATTTTTGCCTTGCAAATAAAAATATATTCTTTCTGCACGAGTGTCATCTTGCTGCTATTTAAGAATGTTTAGGGATTATCACATTAATTTTTAGCTTTGACAAAATAAGTCAGATCTTAAGGAATCAATTAATTGTGTACTTTAAAATTAAAAATGAAATTTTGTTAGCCACTTGAAGTATAGATTGCATTATATCCCAAGGTACAACACCTTGTCATATCTTTTGACACAAAGTGTTGTATTTTGAGACAGTTCTATTTGAAATAATTTTCTGACAACAAACATTTCATTTTTTGAAGCACTAAGTTAAATTAGCGATTTTCTTCAGAATTTAAAACAACTGTTTCAATATTTTAACAGGGATACAAGTCTTCCAATATTTCATTTAAATCTTACATTTTTGTAAAAGGATCCTATATTACCAATGTTTTTAAAAGAAATTTATGTGTTTTTTACTCTTGTAACACTTTCTACTTTTTTATTTATTACATTTAATTAGCAATTTCACCATAATTCATTGGTAAAAAAACACCTGTAATCACTATTTTGGCTATTGTCAAATTATGCTACATGCTTCCTCTGATCAAAAATGCTAATAATGAAAATTATCTTTCCTTTAATAAGCATGGTCTTTTTCAGAAAATAATTTTTAATAAGCATGGTCTTTTTCAGAAAATAATTCAGAAGATCCGTACGCATTAAAAATCATTATTCTCCCGATTTTTCAAATTGCATATTGTGATTTGTATGCATGGGTTTTTTAAATTAAACTCTGTGTACGTGTACAGTATTCATAAGGTTTGAAAATTGCACAACACTATTGAGAAGATTTTCATATCGCGATCTGCTGCAGAATAATAGCCAGGTCTTGGCAACTTCTGAATAGTGGCCTGCGAGAAACTAAAAGGAAATATCAATAAAGAAAAAATCCTCTAGGGATATAACTCGTTACTACGCCAGGGCAAACCTCAAAGTTTTTTTAAATTTCATGCATAAAATTTATTTGGTGCCTTTATGGTTGTAGTTGCGCAACAGATTACGATTCCTAAATGTCCCCATGATATTTAATAATTAGATAGAATTCATATTCATGCAACATAATAATCTATGAGGGAAAGAAAAATAATTATTTTGGATGAAAAGTAAAGTTCTGCAATGAAAAAACTAGAACTCTTTTTTTTTTTTCAACGTAAGTTAAAAGTTTCTTTTTATTGTAATAGAAAAAGTGAAGTTAGCATTTCCCATTCCTTACCTGTGGATTACACTCACGAAAACTCTTCATTTGAGTTCTAGTTATTTCTCTAGTCGTCAGCAAATGAATATATTAACAGCAAATATGATCTTAGTTTTTCTTTTAGAGATTATCAAAAATTTTATTTAAAGATTTTACTTCACATATAAAAAGGGGAGAAAAAAAAACAAATTGAATAATTTTAAACATCAAGAACATTAATTAAATTTTATAATCAAAAGTTATTTTAAAGCAATTTAAATTCATTTGCTCATATAGAATACATAATTTTTAATGTCTCCGTTTAAAACTGTTAGAAAATACCAATAAAAATATTCAATGAGTCCTATACATATGAAAAACATACCGAATTGTTTTAAATAATTGCTATCGTTTGAAATATAATATCCTTTTTTTTATAATAAAAAAAAATTATGATTTTTACATTCATGTAGCCAAACTGCAATCCCAGTATGGGTGAAATTTATAAATGGTTGCCTGGCACTCCTTTGAAATCATTAAGAGGGGTGACAAACGCAGGTACGAAGCTTAGAGGAGATATTAGGGTAGAGAGAGTCAGTCTATTGTTTGGGCTCTGAGAACTTGTTCCAAGATGGGGGTTTCCTTTTTGGCGAAAAATTCATAGCTGGCGGTCGCATCGTACAGGAATATTTTCAAGAGTACCTAAAGATTTTTTCTCTCTTTTATTTTATTTTGAATGCTTTCCCAATTTTTGTCGGTGATTGTAAAATATAAGCTTTCAAATAAAAATACATTATAGTATGTGTGCTACATTTAATTATTTACTTTTAATTACTTAATCATAAAAAGCTAATAACATATTATTTAAGTATGACTTTGCCAGACAATGAAATAAAAATAATGATATTTCGAATCGAACATACATTTGAAAGCATTTAAAATATAAAGAACTAATTGCAAATGATTATAGGTATTAATTATTTTTGTCAAAACGTCATAAGAGATAAAACAAATAACTACTTACTTCAATAGAATTTAAACAACAGCAAGAAAACAATTAGATATCAATATTTTATTTTAAATAGTTAAAAAAAAAACATCATCATTCTGTTTTATATTACATTACGGCTTGAACTAAGAAATATATTTTCATTGTCAATCTTTGTTTAAAGAAAATCATCTTATCCATTTGACACAACATTCTGGCTTGATACGCAAAATATTTTCGAAGTCATTACTTTATAATCGGTAAATTTTAATAAGGAAAAAGAAATAAAATGTAATTTGCAAAGTTGAGAAATACATCTAATTTTTAAAAATACATCATGTCTTTTTTATATTACATTCTGACATGAATTATAAAATATGTTATCAGCGATAATAATTTATTTCAACCAATGCATACAATTAAAATTTTAGTGAGTTAACATAACATGATGAAAGTATTTAAATTAAAATAACAAATTTTATTAGCATAACATGATGAAAGTATTTAAATTAAAATAGCAAATCTTTGTCTTGTTATTAGTCCCTTTATCTTATTTTTAAAAAAAAGTATTGCGAAATTCCATATAAGAACATACTGTCTACCAGTTGTTTGAAACATTGATAGCTCTCGACAGCTACTTGTAATTTTATATTAAAAAAATTAATTGATATTCAAAGAAAGAATTATTTCCTTTTTATTTCTCGAAATCAAAATTAAATACATATAATGATAATAATAAATAGCCACACCTTTTATAATCCTGTAACAATTATTTAATAATAGGATCTATTATTAATAATAGAACCTATAATAACCTAGTTAATATTTTCCTCACTAATAAATGTACAGTAATAAATATAAAGCTTCCTAAGTAAATATGAATATCCAAACAATTTTTCCTATATAATAAAATAATAAGAAATATATTCTTCGGCTTATAAATTTTATTTAATAATGGAATTTTTAAAAGATAATTTTAGTTTTGATCCAAAAAATTTTTTTTTGCATGAAATGTATTAAATATATAATTAAATAATTTAATATATATAATTAAATTCGCTTGAAATTATTACAAAAAATTATTTTAATGCATCAATAAAAGTTACAGAGCGAAAATTAAAGCGATCTGTTTGCAAACATTGGCGTGAAAGAAATGCGCCAAATCCGATGCACGCGCTTTATCAGAAAAGGAGTAAAAATATCAGAATATTTGTATCAATATGAAATTTAATTGTAATGAAAATGCCTATCAATGTTAACTACATTATAATCTATTAATTTAAATAAAAATATAAAAAAATAATTGCTATTTTGCTAGTTAAAAACCAATTAAATTCATTCCATAACTTGACGTGCTAACATATAAATAGAAAATAAATGTTTATAATTGAATATAAAAGAATAAAAATCTTTCTTGTGAAATGTAAAAGGTCCTCCTTTAATGAATTTTTCGTTGCATCCAAATGCACAGCAGTATACCACCATTTTTTTAAAATTTTATAGTTAAAAACACAGCTCATCAATTCACCTCCATAGGAAAAGAATGGGGAGAGGGTTTACTGGAGGGAAAATCGTCCAGGAATCACGTGACGATGTTCTTTGCAACGAGGGATGGGGGACTGGTTCTCTCTACCTAAATTACTCCTCTAAGGTCAGAAGAGGAAAAGTGTATGCCTCCTGATTTTTGAAGATGTTTACAAAATTGAAAACAAACTAGCCTTCTCATACTGATGCTGCCATCTAGTGACAATTATAAAAGTAGTTTTTCATTGCTCCTTTCAAAAATATTGTATATACAATCAGGACTTCGACAAGTCCAGAAAATGGATTTTTCTGGATAATTAGTCTTTTAAGTTAAAATGTTTTCTTACAGGTTAAGAAATATTAAATAAAAGTGAGGAGAGAATAATTTGAACTTTCTCTTCCATGAATAAAGGCTTTTTTTCCCAATTAGCAGGGTCGATAATCGGATAAAAATAATCTTAAATAAAGCCACATGTTCCAAAAGTTAATTAATGAGATTTATTAAAAACGAAAGATGCTATAAAACACGAAACAGAATTAAGTAGATATTGTTAATAAAAATATATATATTTTAAAGGAAAACAAAGCATGTCTGCTGGTATTATTTTTAAGCACTGATAATATTCAACTTCATTAATATTCATAGTTTACTCTTCTCCAGGGTTGGATTTTTGATGTCAAAAACTTGTGAAAAATGTCATAAACTATCGAAAATCTGACAAAAACTATTAAAAACTTACTGCAAGTTTCTTTTTTATCACAGACTTTATTAGAAGTTAAATCATTCCAATTACTTTCATTATAGTTACTACTATGAGTTGTACTAGGATTTATATTATATATCATCTATAAAAAAATATAGATGTTATTGAGGCTATGAACCAGGGTTGGCAAGTATTTGACACATGACGGTTTTTACCGGTTTATACCATGGTTTTTACCGTCATGTCAAAAACCCCTCTGTCAAAAATGTCGAAAACTGTCAAAAACCCATAGTTTTGTTAAAACTGTATTTTAATTTGAGTTCAACTGCTTATGATTTAAAATTAATTCATTTTTGGGCAATAAAATTAGAAAAAAAGTTGCTAAAAGATATTTAAGAACAGATTTTTGCATTTTCCCAACATGATTATATCAAATCATACTATTTGAAGTAAAATATTAGGATACTAAACAAAATTTTCAACATTTCCAAGCATCATTTTGTTTGGCATATTACATTACTGAAGAATGTCAAGTCATTCCTGACTTAGAGTTTGTTAGTAGTTACAAGTTTTGAAAGTTTTGTTTAGCTTATTTCTAATATTTAAGAAATGCCAAATTTTAAATTCTTCTTTTTAGTTCTTGAATTTATTAATAAGTTCAAGTTTTTTTTGTTTACTTCTAACAATTAAGATGTGCAAAATTTTGAATCCTTTGCAAATCAAGCTATAATGATAAAAGTTAAGTATCACTATTTTCAATAAGTATGTTACAATATTTCTGTATGAATGTATATCCTTCTATAAGAATACATGTATATAGTTGCAAAATCAATAGCAATCATTTACAACATTCATTTATAAAGACAATTAAGTGAAAATAACATATTGTCCGCTACATGCCATAAATGAAAGAAAACAGTAGGTTTTTGACGATTTTTACCGCTGTCATGTCAAAAACCAGTTTTTGACGGCAAAAACCCAACCCTGCTATGAACTAATTTTGTTTATTGGTTAGAAGCAACAAATTATAAAAAATATAACATTTTGTAGTATAGTAGACTTGATATCGTCGATTACAATGAGTTTAAAATTCTATGGAAAAAAATAAAAAATAAAAGTTCACCTCTTGTTTGAAGAACATATGGTATATAGCTTTTTTGTGACTAACATCATTAAAATCTTAACCATTTCTAGGGGTATAAGAGATTTTTTTCAATTAAGTTAAGATTTTCTGCAAATTTAGAATTGTACAGTATATCCTTTATAATGTCAAACAGATTAACTGTCGGCAAGAGAAAGGGAATCGCTATTTCTTGCAGCATATGGCTTTAAGACTTTGTGCTGTGGAAAAATACCATTAGACAATACCAACCTTCATAGATCAAAAGGTACCTCAAGATTGAATCAAGTTAGCATGTTTTATTTACTAGGAATCATATTGGTTACACCACTATACTCCCCCACCAGAATTTTATCAGGGATAGAATTCGATGAACCGATACCACTAGTTTCTGTATTTGTGAAGGAGTAAGGTCACCGGTTTTTGAGCTTTAGCCATGAGAGCTGTTTTAAGATCATGGATGTGTGTGTAGTCACTCCTGTGTTGCTATTAGCAGTCGAGTGTTTGCAGAATGCTGTTGTGTGAATGAGACTAAAAAGCAACGGCACTGGGAGGACGATGGCGCAATCACAAATAGCAAACCAACTGTTCAGTGTGGACCATCCATCGAAGTAGTCGTGATCATATCACATCCGCAGGTCACCAATGTGGGCCGTAAGAAAATGAGACACCTTCATCTATAGAAAGGTACCTCGAGATTAAATCAAGTTAGCATGTCTTATACACTAGGGAATTGATGTTTAATAATCGTAGTGGTAGTTACACCACAGTGGCAAAGGGAGCTCTTTCAATAGATAGACTATAAAATATCGGTAATAATGTTAAACCAGTGCATAAAAACAATTTTTTAGGCTTTTAGCATGACAGTATTCATGGTTAAAATAATGAAAAACTGACATCTTATTAAGACTGGTTCTGTTACACTTATTTTAGTATATTTTCCATGCTAAAGTTATAATCCATTTTTTGTACATGATTAAATTTATTTTAAGTAGTGAGATACTATTGTAGTGAAAGTTACTAAATAATTGTAAAATCATATTGATGGTTTGTTCTTTTCTTTTCAGTGGAGAAACTGCTCATAATAAAGATAATGTGATTCAAGGTTAGTATGTTATTTTATTTTTTATGTGTTATATGTTCTGATATTCAGAAACCTTGTTCACGATCGAACATGCTCTCTTGCATATAAGTACAGTAGAGAACCATTTATCTGGTATCCAGAAAACCGGGAAAAATTTTGCTCGATTTTCCCGCCATTTTAAACTAGAACGAAAAAAGCGGAAATTGGACTCATCCTTGAAGTTGAGTAGAGGAAAATGTAAGGAAGGGGAATTCCCCCCCCCCCCCGTTTACCCAGAGAAACGTCATTTCCTCCGTGACCTTGAAGGCTGGGAAGGGAGGAATGTTTTCTTTAGGCCGTCAATCAAACTCAAGGGTGTGGCATGCTGATTTCGTTTTCTGCTTGATTTACGAGGGGGGTGGGGAAAATGCATTGCATGCATATCAGTGAACAGAAAAAGAAAAGAGAAAAATATATTTATTTGATATCGACTAATAAAAATAAAATCTTTTTCTTTTGAATAAATTCTCATTCTTTGGAAGTGCGGTATCAATTGCAAGTTTTTCTTGGTGTGGAATCACATCTGCTGTAATTAAAAATCTTGTTTTTATCAACAAAAAAAAAAAAAAAAAAAAGGAGAATTGTTTATTAATTTAAACATAGGATTATTTTATGAAGCAGATTGCAGTTTTGTTTTTCTGATTCCACTACGTTTGATTTTTTTTCTTTTCGCGATAAATTTCGCACTCAATAAATTAATTCTTTTTATTCATAAATTTTATCATTAGGTTTTTTTTTTTTTTTTTTGAATTCCGTTGATCTTGCCTTGTTCCGGGTTTTAATATTTATGCTAGTGCCTTTTTTAACTATCGTTTCGGTTCGATAATTTTCAAGTGTTTTTATTTAGATTAATAAGTTTTCCTTTTATTTTATCGTTTCCCCCCGTATAATTAGGTATGAAATATATTGCGTTATTTAATCATTGGTTTTGTTTATATTATTTAATTTAGGAATTGTAATTATTTTTAAAAAATAAATATGAGAATTTTGTATTTTTTAAACTTGATTTTCTTGTCTAAACTTGCAAATTTTTTTATTCTTTTAAATGTTATATTTCTACCATTTTTTTTTTTCTTTTTAAAGTTAGGAGTACCTTTCTTTTTTCTCTTACTTTATGCATTACACTTTTTCCTTGTACTTCGGGTTCGATAAAACATCGATTAACGACACTTTTTGGTCGATCCAGAAAACCGGGAAATTCAGATATCCGGGATAGCGATGGTCCCGAGCATCCCGGATAATTGGTTCTCTACTGTAACAAATATTAAGAATCAAAAATAAATTTTTAAGTTGAGATCAGGCAGTTGAGAGTATTGGCGAACACTTTAGTTTTACTTGATCTAAAAAATCTGTCTAAATTGAGGCTTAAAGGAATTGAAATCAAAATGTAGATTAATAATAATTAACAACTCGTAGTTATTTCCTGTAATGTAAATTAATTAGTTATAATATAGCAAATAATATTAATCTTAAAGTGTCATGCTTTTAGAAAAACCAATTAAATAGTTTTTATTTTGGCAATATTTTTTATATTATAAATCATATAATGCAAGTATTGTGCATGAATAAAATATACAAGTTACTACTAATAAAATATTCCCAATAACAACTTACTCCAGGTTTTAGACAGTTTTTGTTGAAAACCCAACCCTGGCTTTTACTAATTCCTTATTTAGCAAAAATAATTAACTAATTAAAATATAATTAGATGTTACAATTGTCAAACTGAATTCCTAAAATTAAGACATTTAAAATTTCCAGCAGCTTAATGAAACATCTGTCAAAATATTTTTCAACTTTACCCTGCCTATAGAAATCTTGCTATAAGAATGTAAAATTAAAAGATATTTAAAATCAAAGAATTACAATTTCAGAATTTCCTTGTATTGACACATGAGTACCTATTACTCATTCAAGTCATAACTCATTATTTTTTGGAAAAGTATTTTTTATTAAAAAGGAGCCATATTTGGATTTTTTAGTTTGAAATATGTGTCTCTATCTTTTTATATTATTATAGTCACTCATTATATTAAATAGTTAATACTTTTCCCACTGGTAAACTTTTTCTTTCTTTAAAATTTTTTATGCAAGATTCTTATCATAGAAAATCGCAGAAATAAATTTAAAAGCTATTAAAACAATTTCAAGTTTTTCAGGGTGGCCACCCACCTGGTTAACCTGGAATTTTTTTATACTGGAAAAATCAGGGAAATTTTGATGAAAACCTGGAAAAATCAGGGATTTTTAAAGAAAAGCTGGAAGTTTTTTTTTTTTTTTTAATTTTAATAATTTAAATTATTTACTGATTTTCTTAATTTAAATTATTTTACCATCCATACACACTTTTTTTAAGAAATGTACCGCCAAACAATTCATATATCTTCAACTTAACGATGCTTTGCTTTCATCAAAATTTGCTCCATTATTATCCTGTTAAACTAGAATGCCTCTTATAACTCTCCCCATAGAGAAACCTTTGACCTCTATGGAGGCTATGGGACTGTGCAGTTTAGAAAAGGCAAAAATTGAGGAAGATTAGGATTTTTGCTTCATTTAAATGTATGTTGTTTTTTTCTTCTAGTCCATAGGCATGGGTTTAAGTTGGTTTGAATGCTTTGGTGGATATTTTTTTCTATTTTGACAAAATTATAAAAAATGTTTTAGTATTCTTAACTTTATAAAATTCTCCAAAAATTAGTTGGTTAAAATTTTATAACAATGGATTTTATATTGCACTCTTTTAGAAAGCCTTTGTGCTCCCATCCAAAGAAATCTATGAATCTCAGCAAAGTCAACCAATCACAACATTTTCTTACAATCGCTAACAGCAATGTGTGTTGACAAATGGTTACAATTGTTGCATTAATTCTAATTTTCTTGATTTCATTTTGACCTTTTATGACACGTCTTTTAATTAAGGAAAGGTTTTATTAAGAACCAACTATATGTTAACATTTAATTTTTCTCTTTTGTTGGTAAATATTTGATTTTTTATTCAAAATTCCTATTGTATAGTAATCACAATATCGAAAATTCGTAAATGTTGCTTGCATTCCAGAGATATATTTCCAAAACTGTTTCTCCTTTTTGCCCTAATAAGCTGGCAAAGACTAAGGACAATGACTAAGTATAGGAAACATGTTAAATGATGTATAAACATTGAATGTAAAAATGTTTTATTAATATGTGTTTATTAAGAAGGAAAACAAAACTTAATCTTTTTGTTCTGCACTGTACAGATACAAGTTTCTAGTTATAAAAACAAAAACAATTAACTCTGCTAAACTAAAAAAAAAAAGCATGTATTTAGATTATAATTCTTTAAATATTTTAATTTAAAATAAAAAAATAAAGCAGAATAAATTTTAAAGAATTTTATCTATTTTTTTTCTATCGAGTATGCAACAAGAAATTGGACATTTGCGACATTCATTTTTGTGTACAGAATCTCTTAAAATAATAATGCTTATTCAAACTAACATTTGACTTGAGATACTGGTTTAAGGAAAATATGATCAAATTAATTTTATGAGGAGCACTTTGATAAAGTGAGTATAAAATGACTTTATATTTCAATGTAAATACTGTGACTTATAAAAGTGTTTGTACACTTTTGACTTTCAATGAAATAAGATTGTAATCAATATTTCAGAGAACAGATATTTAATATTAAAAAACATATTCTATTTTTAGCAAAACTGTATAAAAAAATTTAAGAAATCAATACTCAAAATGTAACAAAAACTTGATCTCACAAAAGTCATTGTACACTTTCAAAAAAAATCTCCATTTATTAGTAAATATTTTTTGTTAAATTAACATTTAGTAGAGTTTCCTTTTGCATCTACAATAGATTTTAAAAGTATGTAAGAAAATGTAACTAGTTTTTTTGTATTTTTTTTTTTTGTGTGATATTTGAACAGAATATTCTTTATTAAGTTTAACAGAAACTTTTACAACACTCAAATGTGCATACAGCCGAACTCGTTTATAACAAGCACAAAGGGACCGTAACATGTACTCGTTAAATCCGAGTGCTCGTAATAAACGGGTCCTTAAGGCAGGCGTGCGACCAGAAGAGGGGGTGACATAAAATTTAATTAATACTTACTTACTTTAATTAATTTAATGAAATACTCTTCTTAATTTAATGACAACTATCCCCCCCCCAACCAGCAAAAAATTTCTAGTTGCGCTACAGTCTTAAAGGAAAGAAGCAATAAACGGAAAGAAATATAAGGGAAAAGATTCTTACCAAAGCATTTATTTTTTTCATTAATCTACATATTTAAAATAGTAGTTTGTTAGCTTACTTTGAAGTTTCAGTTCGCCGTTTTTTTTATTTCGAGCGTATTTCTTATCATTTTGAAAAAAAGATTGCAAGACAGAAAAATATTGCTCGTTAAAAGCGACTTCTGTTCCATAGACTTAACATTGATCCAACCAAATATTTTCGTTTCCCTCGGTAAATCCGAGCTCGTTATAAACGAGTTCGACTGTATATGAATTTTTCCACAGATTTTATAATTTTAATTTCTGATATGAAGTCCTTCTTTTAAGCATTTATCTTAGATTGCACATTGGAATAGGACACAATAAACTAATTTAGCGATATTCGTTACTGATATACCTCTTATGATGACAAATAATTAACTTTCAAATGTTGTCGATTGTATTATTACGACTTCTAGCCGTTTTTAAGTAATGTAAGAAAATATTATGGAGTTAGAAAGTAAAAATTAAAATATAGTTTTGCTATCATAAGTTTGATACTAAATTATAAATAAAAAATTAAATGATAAATATTTAAATAAAGAAATTAAAACAGTAGACCATAATTTTAATTTTGAAATCCAAAATCATTTAAATGCACGATGATTTTAGTGAGGTAGATTTTTTTTTTACTTCTTTATTATTGATTTCTTAAAAATAAACTTTTGCTTTGTTTTTTGAAATATTCCAAGCAGTTTTGCTAAGAATAGATTATACATCTTATTATTAAATACCCATTCTGAAATATTAATTTTGATAGAATAGAGTCCTATTTCAACAGCAGGGCTTAATTCAGGTTTTCAATCCTAGTACCTATTTTTGTGAGAAAAAAAATTTTTGTGAAATTTTTTTTTATTTTTGTGAAAATTAAGTATTGATAAAAAAAAAAAAAAAAACTATTTTTTTTCTGTAACAAAACTTGAATTGTTTTGCTCTTCAATCTTTGGTTCCGTAGCATTTTTAATACACTGTGCCTCGTTATTAACTGTGACGGTTTTTTCAGACGGCGACTGTTGTGACGGTTTCTCCTCAGTTTTTTCAGACTGAAAAAAATGTTTTAATTGATTTCGTTCCTATACTATCGATCGTGCGTAAACGCTTCATATAATAATCGCTATTCCGTGAGCCACCCGCTCCACTTAAATTTCTTCCTCGCTTCATTATAAAAACTTTTCATAAATCTTGTTAAAAAAATACGAATAGAACACGTTTTACGCTAAATCATAAAAAAAAAAACTTGTCTGGGAAAATGAGTTGAGTTGTTTACGCGCTGGCTCAATTTAGCCGGTTGCCTAGTATAAAAACTTCACCACTCACTCCGATTGAATGGCGTATTTAGGAGAAGTGACGTCAGCATATCAAGCCTGTTTTCGAGCTAGTGCGGTTGCACGGTACGCCGTCCGATGGCGTACCATATGGCGTTCACTGTGAATCCACTTTTCCGTGAACCGCTCGGAAAACTATTCAGCACTCTTTAATTCCTTCTAACTTTCTTTTTTATTTTCGTGAAGATGCGTTTTTTTTTTCAAAGTTTGTTGAAGTACTGATTTTTTTTTGTGAATGTACCGATTTTTTTTTTTTAATTTTGTGAAGGTACCGATTTTTTTTTTAAAATTTTGTGAAGGTTCCGAAAAACGGTACCAAAATCGCCCTGGATTAAGCCCTGTCAGTTATAAGTGAAAGAACACTTTTAGGAGCCACTGTAAACATAAAAATGTATTGATATATAATCACCTGGAAAGGTTTTCTTTTGCTTAATGAGAATATATTAAACAATACTTATCCAAGATTTTTTTTGGTCATTTTGTACTTGCCATTTGGTACACTTTGTGCAAAAACTACCTGAAGTAACACATTAAAATTTTTTTATTCAATATGAACAATATATTTTACAAGCTAAACATATTATTTTCTCTCCACGTTTATTAATTTTTAAAAAATTAATATTGTATAAAAACATTAAAAAATAAAACAAAATCTTGCCAAATTGTCAAAATAAATTTAGTCTTAATTATTTTTTCAAGATGTATTTAAAAAATAACATTTTAAATGAAATACTTTATTGGCACTTTTCTTGTACCCATCCTACATTTTATGAGAAGAAGAAGAAAAAACGCTAACCTGGAAATTTTAAGATTTTTACCTGGAAAAACCAGGGAAATTTGATACCTGATTAGAGTGGCCACCCTGGTTTTTATATTTTCTTTTTATTTATTTTATAGGCCAACTAGATGTACCGCTATCACAAACAGGTCTTCAACAAGCCGAGCTCTTGGGAGTTCACTTGCAATATCAGCAATATAGTCATGTCTACGTCAGTGATCTAACTAGAGCTAAGCAAGTAAGCTATAATATGAGTACCTTTTGTTTGATTTAATTGGTCATTTACACAGGGTTCTTGCTGTCCTAAAATGTCCTAAAAAAAGTGCTAAAATTTCTTCTGAGTGCTAATAAAATTCTAAATATTTTTTATTTTGGCGTTTTGAAAATTTTTTGAGCGGTCAGATTCCTTAAATCGCTTTCCCTAAATCCTTAAATTCTGTTGCCTTCAGCTCTCCTGCTGCCTCCATCTTTTTAGAAGATTCTTGGGCTTTGGGGAAAGAGGTTCTTTCTTCTGAGATTTTATGGGCTTTAAAAGTTGTAGATAGCTACTACTCCTACAATTCTTCCAAAGACTCTGGAAAATTATTTAGTACAATGTTTCCAGACAGTTCAATAGCACGTCATTTCGCCTACAGTGAATCTAAGTGTGCATATCTCTGTCATTTTGAACTTGCACCTCATTTTAGCATGCTACTTCCTAAGTGCATTGATAATGCCAAGTTTTTTTTATACATTGTTTTTTGATGAGTCTTTGAACACAGCGACACAGCAGAAGCAGTTGGATATACATATCCACTTTTGGAACCCAGATAAGAACATTGTAGAGACGCGATACTTAACATCAGCTTTTGTGGGCCATTCTGCAGCAGATGACCTTTTAGCCTGCTTTTATGCATCAGTCAAAAATGTAGACCTGAAGATTTCTATGGACAGTCCTGCTGTCAATTGGAAGTTTTATAATAATATTCAAGAAGAGTTGTTAAAAGAACATGGTGTTCAATGCAATGCAATAGGAAGTTGTGGGCTTCATATTTTAAATAACGCATTCTACAAAGGTGAATCTGAAACAGAATGGCTCATTGGTTCCATCCTGAGCTTAATCTTCTATCTTTTTAAAGATTCACCCACAAGAAAAGAAGATTTTATTAATAAATTAACTGAGAACAAATTACCACTAAAATTTTGTAACCACCGTTGGCTGGAAAATGCACCTGCAGCTGAAAGAGCAATATTGCTTTGGAATGATCTGAAATCTTATGTGAAAAATGTTGGCAAGTTTAGAAAAGGGAGCTAGTTTTACCATTTTTGAAACTGTATCAAGCAGATCGGCCGCTTTTACCATTTTTTGCTGCAGATATCCAGGATTTGGTATTACATAGTGTGCAATTATATAACATTCTGAAGCCAAAATCTATAGAAAAGTTAAATTCTCTTGAGAAACTGTGCCATTTTAATTTTTGTGATAAAAAGAATTATGTCTCTCTGACAAAAATCAGTGTAGGTTTTAAAGGTGACCAAATTTTAAAGCAGCTGTTGGCCTCAAAAGTTATTTCTGACCGGGATCATATGAATATAAAGAAAAATTGCAGAAAGTTTATCACCAAAATGTTAGAAACTTTACTAGAGAAATGTCCAACAAACTATTCTGTTGTAAGAAATGTTGCTTGCGTCAATCCAAAATTAATGTCAGAAAACAAAAGCAAGTGTGTTCTAAAAATGAGAAACATATTAAATAACTTAAGTCAAAAAAAGAAAATTGAGGAAAAAGATTGTGATAAAATTAAGCTGCAATTTGCACTTTACTTATTTGTATATTTTTTAAAACACTTTATTTGTATATTTTTAATATCATGTATTGATTCAGTATGTTATTTTTACTTTACATCAAGTGCTAATTTTTTTTTCTTAGTCCTAAAAAAGTCCTAATTTTTTTTTTGAAATAATTGAGCAAGAACCCTGTTACATTATATTTTTGTTTAAATCCAAATAGGTATTTCCTTAGAATTTTTTTCAGACCTGCTGACTCTCAGACTTTCATATACAATCTCAAGATTTTGGCCACCAAAGTATTTCCTTTGGCTTTTTTCCTAGAAAGTGTCTAAATCTTCAAAGCTGCACACATTTTGCAAGAAGCTCCCAAAAAACTCTCCGGATCAGCAATTTTGTAGTTTGAACATGTTTGGTCCTTTTTTAAAATTTTGAAATTTCTGATAAACCAAGAAAGAGAAAAGGTATAACACTGACTAAAAGGTTTTAAGCAATATGTGTATGGTTTATTTCTCTTTCAAGAGAGATAATTTTTTTTTTTTTTTAATGGCGGGCACTTGGAGCTATTGTCCATTGGCCACAGAAAGTGCCAGAACTGCTAATTCTCTTTTCGTTACCCAGTGGGCACCTGGGGCGAAGCCACGGCGGTGGAACAGCGTCGCCCACGTCACACTACCACAACCCGTTTATAGGGCGGGTCACAGATAAATTGAAATAGCTAATACAGATAATAGAGAGATAAATTGAAATAGCTAATATGAGTACTATTTAAATTTTCCTCTTTTACGCACCAAGTTTTTTTGTCCATTGTTTTTCTGTCTTAGTAGTTTAGGGAAAAGGTAATTCAAATTTTTTTTATTCTTTTGATAATATTGATGCAAAATGCAGTAAAGTCGGAATCAGATGTAGTAATGCCCCCGTGGCAGAATCGCTGTGACACAGTGACATTGTCACTTTACATAGTTCTTGCAGAAAGATTTTTTCTTTGGGCTGTAAAAAATTTTGTTTTGTTCATTATGCGGTGATCACAAAAAAGTTTGTTATAAGCTTATCTGTTTTTGCATCCCTTCTATATTTTAAATTAAACATGTGATGAAAAGAATTGTAAGTGGAAATTAATTAAGCAAAGAATATTGTGAAATGAATTTATTTGATCTAACATTGTTATTCTAGTAGCACTATTTAATTTCTCCGATTTTAAATATGTATTAATTCTTCTGGTCCTCTAGCGAATTTATTTTTGGATAAATGAATTTTATTATTGTGTGCAAAATTTTTTTAAATTCATTTTAAAAGTTCTTGATATCTTATACTATAATACGAGGAATGGTTGCCAAGTCGAAAATCGCCCCAGAATTAATAAACTCCGGTAAACTTGGGGGTCTGGGGTTTTTGGCCACGAGGAATCGATTGGCGCCGGTTTTGAAGCGCTACGGTCGAGCAGTTCGGAGTTACAGATAGGATATTTTCAAACTTTATTAGTTCGCCATAATGGCTATAGATACTTTTCTCCACTCTTATAAATGTATGCTAATGCGAACTTTACAATAAGGAAAAGCGACGGTGACAACTTAAACCAATAATATACGAAGGAATTAATAATTTAATTGTAAGGTTCGCATTAGTTTACATTTATCAAAGTGGAGAAAAGTTTAACTTTTGTGTTAAAATCACCGTCAACAAAGTCCGACATTTCAACATTCATCAGATTTCAAGCTACATTTTCAACATGCAGAACGCACCTCTACATGAAATTCTTCAAGGAGCCGGAATTTTGGAACAACAAGCGATCAACTCAATTCTACCCGCAAATGGACAACTAGAAGATACCGTCATTGTCAGAATGCTTCTCCATTACGCCGAACAAGCTTACCCGACCGTCAAAGTTGCCGTACTTCACCCTGAATTTGTCGCACGCTTCTACGTTACAACAGCGGATGGCGCTTATGAAGGAATGGCTCTTCTCAACGATATCAGCGACCAGAACAAGGCTTCCAACTATCTATACGGCGTTCAACAAGGATTCGACGTGCTACTCATTCCCATTCACAAGAGAGCTCAAATGGATAGAGGCGAGCACTGGATGCTAGGAATTTACGAAGCAAGCTATGGAGAACGTCAACTATTAGTCTGCGATCCAGTCGACAACCCGCTGCCCATCGATGCTGTTTTGAGAAAAATACTGCGACACGTTTTGAATACCGTTGTTACGAATGAAAAGCTGAAAGGATGCATCGTGAAACCTCGCAACGCTTACAACCACCAAGATGACGCGTCTTCCTGCGGAGTTTACATCGTCTTTTATGCTCGACAATACCTCTCTCATCGACGCCTTTTCCTGGACAAGAATTTTCAAGAAGCGGATGAACGGAAGCAAATTTACGAATTCGTTGTGAACAGTGTCTTTAATTGTATAATTTTTTGTTATCAATTACATTTTATTTCCTATGACTTTTCAAACTTTACCTTTGTATAGAATAGTTCCCTTTCCAAACTCTAACTTTGTTTAGATAGTTTTTCAATGGTGCACTTTAACCGGTTATCTTTTCACCAATGGTTTCACAAATTTTCTTATGGCATGTATTGTTTTGATAAATCACAATTGAAAACTTAAATCTTCGAGTTAGCTTCGATACCTGTTTTCTCCGAGCGGAGCTCGGTCACCCGCTGGTATGTAAAAATTGAAATTGTTATTAAGGGATCCACACTTTTGACTAATGTTGAGAAATTATATTTTTGGGTCTGAGTTAGTAATTTGAAATATCATCTGCACTAATGAATTATTCAAGCTTAGGCCCTCATAGTATTGAGTCCTAGTTCATGAAAATCTGATCATTAGATCAAAAGTTATTCAGGATGTTTGCTTTTTTATTTTGCTCACTGTACTTCATGTTTTAACTTGTATTTCTGGAAAACCTTTCATATCAAGTAAAGATACAATTTTCTGATCAATAGTTAATGATCTCATAGTTATAGCACATTTATGAAATATTTGAAAATTATTATTTTAGTTTCTTAACTGTCAATTTCAATTGCTTTTAACTGTATGTTTAGTTGATGCTACCTCTGTCGAACTGTATCATTTCTGCAGTTTATGTCATCTTGATTAACTGATGAAGGTGTACCTTGTGACATTGAATGCATGCAGGTTTTGATAAATTTTACTCTATATCATGTGATTTAAAACATGGTTTTTACTTAATCTTAAAACTGATTTTGTAAATTTATTTTTCAAGTTTAACAAGTTTAAAAAAAATATGTTTAAATTTATTCCTCATATTATTTTAATTAAATATTAGTCAATTTTTTCAAGCCTCTAAGAAAGAAGTCCCTAGTTTTTAATTATTCCTTATGATTATTTTCTTGATCTTATTATTGAAATCCGTGAAACTTTTTCCCTTAATCACTTATAAATCTGTGTGTTAATTTATTTCAGACAGCTGAAAGTATTATTCGACAGAATAAATCATTCAAAGCTACTCTTCATCATGACTGGCGTTTGAGAGAAAGGGTAAGCTGAAAATTTTCAAAAAGTGACAAACAACATATGTGCAAAAAGTAATCCTAGTGGTTTTAGTTAAAGTTTTAAAGTCACAATTAAGTAGGATTCCTGATTTAAAAAAAAATATTGTCTTTATTTGTCCTGATTTTTTGTGAGATATTTCTGAATTTTTTATTTATTTTTTATTATTCAGATATATTATACCATTTCAGCAAACACACGATTTTTAAATAACCATTTACTTATTTAAAATATTTGTTTCACCTAAAAAGAAATGAGAATTACTTATCAATGGCAAAACTAGTATGTTTTTATTTGAAAAGAGATCTGCTTCAAATGAAGATGAGTTAGCATGAAAAACGAATACCTTCTTTTATTTTCCCCTTTTCTTCAAAAGAACAAATTATTGCCTAGTCAGGGAAAAAAAAATTCTTAATTAACCTTGCCCTTCTTTTTTTTCCCCCCATTTTCATTTTACATTTCTCATAAGTAGAGCTGCAAGTTTGTTGTGGGAAAAAAGACCTGAAATTTGCGGGAAATTTTGAAAACTACGCAGATTCTAAACATGAAAAAGTTCACCACATAAATTAAGCAAAAGACAGAAATTGGGCAAATAATAAAAAAAAAGCTTAAAAAATACACAACAAAAGTATTTCTTTTAATTTCAAGCAATATTAATATTTTTATTTAAATGATCAGAATTTTGGTACAAAGTATTGTACATTGTCAGATTATTCTCGCTTATGCTTCGTCTTTCATCACTTAATAAATTTTTATACTTAGAAATCGATCTTTCTGCTTCCACGCTGTTTGTAGGCACCGACAAACATCGAATTGCCAGTTTTGGATAGCGGTCTGTCTTTGATTTCCAAAACTTGATCAATTTTCCTTCATCAATGCGCAGTTCCTTGGCCGTTGACATTCTACCAAACCAATCTTGACCAAACATTCTATATTCAAACTACTAGTTACAAAAGACTTAAAGCAAGAAGCCGTCCAGGAAATATTGCCTGGATATGTAGAAAGGCAGTAGAAATTTCTTTGCCCAGTGCAATAGCCTGTGTTACAATTTTTCTGTCAAAGATTTGATTTATAACATTTTCCTTTTGTGACTCTAATAACCTTTGTACTCTTAATGACTTCAGGAAGGTAATCCTATCAGTCTCTTACCCTACCTAAGAATAGAAAGACCACCTTACATGACAATATTGTGACTATCTCTTATCTCTGAACTATTTTCTTGTCATTTTGCTATTGATTCACTCCCCTAAATATCTAATCAATTTTACATGTTCAATTTAAGGCTTCGGGAAAGTAAAAAATTCTGTTAATTAAAAATAATAAATTAAAAATGAAACAAAAATTCAAATTGTAAACAATTTTCGCGCAAATCAAAACATATTGAGAAATTCGCGGATTTTAGGAAAAAAGATAATAATTTCGCGGAAATTGGCGCTGTGGCAGACCTGCAGCCCTACTCATACGTCAGTAAATCTAACTCTACACTTGAACTCTAAAATGTGCCTAAAATAAAAGTTAAATACTGTTGTGAATCTCCTGTTGTGGCTTCTATTCAAAAAAATATTGTTAGTTTATTGTATTGAAAGTTTGCCTGTTATAAATTAATTATTATTTTGTACTTAAATTATTTGCGATTATTGAAGTTTAACAATTTACATACCAATGTTTCAAAAATGGTACATGGACATAGAGATCAATTTTAATGAAGAATAAAGAACTACGTCCGAGTAATATTATTTTTCATGCAGTTAAAATTTACATTAAGAAGTATTTCTTGCATTAAGTTAGGTTAGAAAATGATGTCAAAGGTAAACTTATTAACATAATTAAGTAGTCAATCTTTTTTCTCCTCGTCATCTAATTGCATTGTTTTTCATTTCCTATTCATTTCATTTATTGCAATGTCAATAGCAGTTTTAAATGTCCATTTGTTTTATATATTATAATTTCTCAGTTTTTTTTTTATTTTGATGATTTTGTTTCTGGATTATGATGTATTAAGTTTTTGTATCATTTGTTTATTTTTGTATACTTTAATTTTTTTAGTATAAAGGTGCACAACCTCCAACTCTTGATGAGCAGACCGTAACAATATCTGAAAAAGATGAAAATACCATTTAAATTTTTTTTTTTTTTTTTGAAAGAAGGAAAATTTGAAATTGCGCATTTTAAATTTTGATGTGCCCAATTAGTGTAGTTTTCCGAACACTATTTTTCTGTAGTTAATGATATGGTTTTACACATAGTTTTAAAAACCATAATATTTTTAATACAGCATTATTAGGATACTTAAATTTCAAATTTTAGTTATCACTTTTGACACATAGCATGCATGCTAATTTCATCGTAAATCCAATATGTTTTCAACGTTTTTTCAGTACTTATTGCTACTTATTTCCTCATAGTTTCTAAAATTGCAAGTTTTTTAAATACATTTTAACCTTAAAAGTTTTAAATGATGCATTTAAATCAACTTGTTTTGATGTGCTTTATTTGCACAAATCCAAGTTACTCCTACACTTTTTTTGTTGATATTTTTAGCATGATATTCTTACAAATTGAGAGTATCAAATCACTCATTGAGATAACCACTTTTTGACATAGTCTACTTGCGCCAATTTTATCACAAATACAAATTACAGTAGAGCGCCGATTGTCCGAACTGCTCGGGACCGAACGTGGTTCGGATAATGATATGTTCGGATAATTGGAAAGTTGTTTAAAACCTAGTTTAAATTATTATTATTTATGCACCAACTTCCCTTCACACTTTTTCTAGGCTTAAGACTGGCAATACTATCTAAAATAGCTCTGACGAGTTTAAGACTTTTTTATTTTCAATTTTTAAATATATTTTTTTATACTTTTTTTTCAATTTGAATCATTTTTATCATATTTCGGCTTTTTTATAATTTTTTTTTGTCAATTACTGATTTTACCACATTTTTCTTTATTTTCCATTGCCAAAGATATCTATCAAAGACTTATTGTTTCAAAGAACATGCTCTTTATTGTGCAACCATATCCCTTATTCTTTTTAAATAAATCAACTGAATTGGATCAACATCATTTTGACGTTCTAGGCAATTCATTGCATGCTTCCAGGGCCGGCCCTAGACATTTTGGCGCTCCGGGCAAAACCTTAATTTTGCGCCTCCCCCCCCCCTCCCCC